GTGGAGGCGGTGGAGCTGAATGAGCTTCTACCAGGTCGGGCGGTGGATAACCTGCAGGAGAGGCATGAATACTCAGTTGCGACAGGCACGAGATAAGCATAGCAGTCATGGTTACCTCACACCAGCAAGCATGCAGGCACACACCTGCATACATGGCGGATGGCATTGCCCCCGGCGGCGTCCCATAAGATGGCATGTAGCTCGGTGCTCCAGGCGGGTGGGGGAAGAATGGGCCCCCAAACGGTGGTGCAGGGGGAAATCCCGGTGCCCCGGGCGGGGGCGGATAGGCTACACTGACCGGCAGGGCACCAGGAAAGTGAGGAAAGTGCATCTGGGGGCGCATGAGTGCGCCTGGTGTGCGCCGGGGGCCTGTGTCTCCTGCAGCTACCACGTAATATTGATGGGGAAGTGGTAAAAACGGATACAGCTGCTGCAGTTGGTTTAGGATCCTTTATACATACCTGTGCCAGCAGGGCGGACGACCAATGGCCGGTTCGGGTCAAATCCAGGGAAGCCGTCCATGGAAGCCATCGCATTGCGCGCGGAGGCGGGGTCTGCAAAACCAGCAAGAAGCCATCCAAACTCACACATGTTCTGGAAGGAGCCCGACAGGGACATGTTAAGGCATTCCGCGACATGCAGAAAGTAGCTGTGCGTACTGCGTCAGAGTAATGCCAAGAAGGAAGCAATTGACGTGGATTGGAAATGGAAAATATGCACAGACAACGAACCTGCCATGTTGACAAACCCAAATCCTTTAGGGCGCCCTGTCTCTCGGTCAACGATGACACGTGCACTGCATGCAGAAAAGCACAAAGAAAAGCACACTTAGAGGCTTAGATGTTGGCAGGGCAAGCAAGGTCTACATGGCAGTAGAGCCAACGACCTTGCAAACAGGCTTCCGCAAGCGGGGCAAGTCCCAGGGCTACCTGACCACTGGACCGAAACGCGAGAACTCGCGCGTGAGCACGTGCTCATCCACGTGATGGGGTAGGCTGCCAATGTATATCTTGCATTCCGGAGGCAAATCATCGTCCAGCCGAGGCGCACCAAGGCCTGCAAGCCGAACAAGACGATTCAACTTTTGCATTGTTGATGCAAGCCAGCTATCCTCACAACTTTTTCTACAACTTGAGCCCCACAGAATGCTTAAACCATCAAAACTGCATAACTTCCTTACCCCTGCGGGGCCCTGACGATGCCTCATTTCGAATGCGCACCGTCAGCGGTCGGCTGTCCACCAACTTCCCGTTCATGCCCTGCAGGTGCAGGGTGATGGCGGGTTCGCTCGTAAACATAACCCTCACAGAACCGGATTGGCGCCCCGCGAAAAGGGGGGCACCATGACGCATTTGGCAGCCATCAGCATCACCTCCTTAGCTGCTGCTGCTGTCTGCTCGTCGCCCATGTGCACAAAGCCAAACCCACGGCTTACACCTGCACTTGCATGAGGAGGGACTCCAGAGCAACTTGAGTGCAGTGCAGTGCACTGCACAGATGCACAAAAAGAGTCTGCATCCCTTCAGCTCAGGCCCCCCCTCCCACTGATTGCAAACGCACAGCCCGCGTGACGCACCAGTATTTGAATCATACAGAACTGCAGTGTGCAGCACAGCGCCAAAAGGTTCAAACATCTGCCGCAGGAGAGAATCATCCACAGCCTGCAGCAAGCACATCCATCTGGGGAGAGCAATGGCTTGACTGGGCAGACTGGCATGGTGATGTTATGCTGTGTTTTCAATTTTCATAACTTCTTTTGCAATACGTGAAGGGATATGTCCTGCCCTTGCCTGCGACAAGTTGCCAACGTACAACTTGCAGTTGTCCGGAAGGTCGTCTCCAGGTCGGTTGCGGCCATGGGAACCTGCAGACACACGTAGATCAGAATAGAAGGTTCTTGAGTGCTGGGCGTCGCCAAGGAGCTGTGCGCATGCACTGGAGAGCATACAACAGCAAAAACACAGTAGCATGGCTTGAGCTTGAAATACAGCATAAAGCCCAACAAACCCCGGGGTGCCACGGTGTCGGTTGCAGGTGGGCCACCGCCAAGCTCGGCGAGGAATGACTTATACTCAGAGTCCATCTTCACTGCTTCGCCAGGATTCATGCGTGCAACATCCTGTAACAGAGTGGTGTCAGGTGTTCATTCTGGGAGGGATGGGGTCGTGAACGCGGTATGCACGAGCGGTGTGTGTGAGGGGGAGGAGGGTGGTGGCAGCGTGTACCACTGATCGGAACCACACATTAAGCAAGAACACATGTCTCACTAATCCCTTCATGTTTGTAACACAGACCTTGGCATACATCGCGTCCACCTTGCTCTGCAGCTGGTCAGGAAGCCGGTACACATCAATGGCCTTCTTGGGGCATTCGCTCTGTTGATGCCCTGCACAGCATGTCAAAGCTTTCTTCAGGAAACAAAGGACCCAGAACCACGCTCATAAAGGGTTACACGTACCCGATTCCCCGCAGATGAAGCAGTATTCCTCGTCCTTTAGTGTGCCATTCAGTGCTGCAAGCTCCCGTAGCTGCACGAGGTGTCCCATCCAAGGGTGTGTAAGGATGAAGGGGTTAACGTATGCAATTGTGCCGTTTGCGCTGATCTTAAAAGCAACCAATACGAACCTGCAATTTCTTGTGCTCGTTCATTTCTTCATCCATAGGCTGCAGCAAAAATGCAGAGGCTACTTCCTGAGTGGGCTACTTCTGGAGGGCTACTTCTAGAGACTACTGCAATCCCCAACTGCGTGGATCTTCTCGGAGGTGGCGAGTAAACGCAGGGCAGCACCGCCTATCAACACACCTGAAGCAGTCGCTCAATCATGGCTGCCGCAGCATCTACCTGCAAGGGATGCAGCAAAAGTGCAGAAGCTCACAACCTCCAGCCAAGAGACCATGCCACAACTTATGGAAGTCGGCATACCGGGGCCGTTTGTGGTTCAGAATTGCAGCGTCAGTTTGCAGACACTACCCTTCCACCCTAAACCCCATCCCATCAGCTGTGCAGCATGTGCGGTAGTTGCGCACATCTTCCTGACGATCACCAGTGATGAGAACATGAAGCTCCTCATCCTCGCCATAATCGTACTTGGGATCCCGGGCTGCACCCTCCTTCACACTCCCTGCACGTGGATAGGACTCATGGCTGCTGTCACAAGGTGCAAACTGGAAATCAACCCCAGCGCTGCGTCACCCACCTCTGCCACGGATGGCAATCTTTGTGTTGGTCTCTGACTGCATGCGCTTCTGCGTGTTGCCACGCGGGCCAATGATGAGCCCGATAAAGTTATAGCCTGCATCATGGGCAAGTGGATCAGATTCTCTGCTTTTAGTTACAATAACTTCAGCTGCCTCCAAGGATTCCAACACTGCTTGCCAGGGTAGTCCTTCAGTGGAATGAAGATTTTTTTCCACTTGCGCTCTGGGCGGTAGTCTGCATGACATCGGAACACCGACAGGCACATGTGATTGAGGCCGGTGCGCTTCAGGGGGTGTGTGGGTGTACGAGGAAGGGGTCAAACGGGTGGCTTCCCCACGACTTAGGGGCAGAAGAAGCAAACCTGGTGGGGGTTTAAAAGTCGGGTCCCGCTGTATGAGCTGCTCAATCAGCCCATTGCGTGTTTTCACCATTTTCTCTTTGTAGCGAACCTCGCGAGTGTTCAGTCTGCAAGTCGGACGGTGGGAGGGTGGCATAGGGGCGTGGGAGGGCCGTGGCAGCATGGCTAGACGGATACAAGTCAGAGCCAGGAGGGCTGCAGGGTGCCCTGTGTGGTGACAATGAAGCAGCTGCAAGGCACAGGACTTCCACCAGTTACCGCATCCCCATCACGTCGTAGACAGGCGGAGGGCTGGGTGAGCGCTCCCCTTCGGGCGGAATGTCCACCATGCCATTCAAGAGCTTGCGGTTGATGTCATTCAGCTGCAGGAGGTTGGTGGCCAAGCATGAGTAGAGCCCGGCGTTGTGCGAGGCTCTTTGTGCTGCCCTGCCTACCACCCAAGCGAGGGTAGGCGTGTGCAAGTGTTGACGTACAGTGTCCGAGGGTGGCACACTTGCTGTGCGCCGGCTGTGCTTCACCTGCTTGTGGAACTCCAGCACCTCGGGGTCGCCGCCAGGCGCGCGGCCCGTGACGGCGGGTGGTAGTACCACCTGGAGGCCGTTGGAGAGCACAACCTTCTCCGGGAACAGCACGATGGCTTTGCTGCCATCTGCCGCGCTACTGCCTGCAGGTGCAGCAGCCTCCTCGCCTGTGGCCCACCGGCTCTTCCGTTTGCGGGAGGGCGCTGGCGGTGCCGCCGCCGCCGCGGCAGCTGCAGCTGCAGCAACTGCGGCCCCAGGCAGCGGGCCCCATACGTGCCGGCGCCGGCCCCGGGCCTCTGGCGGCATCGACATGATCGATTTGGTGCAAGCAAGCCCACTCGAGGGTACGCGCGCGGGGCCGAATGCAGCAGCTTGCTACTGTGCCGGAACACTAGTTTAGTTTGGAAGGCGAACTCGCTCACAACGGTACGCCAGAACATCGGCCGCAGTACAGTTCCGCTCGCAGATTCCATAGATCGGGCCTCTCTTCCCTTCGCTTTGTTGACCGGCCAACCTCCACGAAAACGTGTGCCTCAGGCGCCCTCCAGCCCCCAATTAACGTTTCAGACATGCTGGAGTTTCTTTTTTCCCCTCGGTGTTACTCAACACCACCTCTACCCCGTGGACTATTCGCCGATATTTTGCTCGGCAGTGCGCCTCTATGCTGGTGTTGCGTTGACCGCGAGCACGGCGGTAGCACGGCGGTTGGGTCCGGAGCAGCCGGCTGGACAGCTGAGTGGGAAGTGACTGTCACAGGCCGACCCCCCTGTGTCTTCATGCCACGCGCCACTCGCGATGGAAACTGGGGTGGGGGAAATGAAGGTGCAAACAGCCATAACACCGCTGGAGCCTGGCTTCGGCCATCAGTCGTACTGGGCGAAATGGCCGATTGCTCAGCGCGGTGAATTGATCAGCAGCTCCATTCTGTTTTCCGGTATGGTGCAGGCAGGGCAGCTGTGTTTACCGCTGGTCAAACATACCAATAAAAAACTGCTTTGTTTCCATTGCAGTGGGGTGGTGGGATTCGTCATCGAATGTAGATGAAGGCAGCAATACAAAGCAGGTGAAAACATTTAAGCAAGCGGCGGCCCATGAGCGTCTGAATGGGCATGTGCAGCAACTGACAGATGGCAACAGCCGAGGGTCGATGAAGGAATCAGAACGCACAGGGCGGCCGTGGCTACAACGACTGGATCAACTTGATGCATGTGTATGTAGGTGCGTGTGTTTTAGCAGAGGTTCCCAAAACTTGTGGATCGTCACACCACGCTGGGCTGCAATTTAATGCAAAGGGTGACGGAAGTGGTGCATGTGTTTCTGGCATGCATGCCAGCTCCTCGCACTTGCCACAGCTGAGATGAAGCACTGGTGGGATCAGTTTGTGTGAAACTGTGTAGGTCTTGATGCTGGATGAACCTACTGCTGATGGATGCGGAAAGTGAGAAGCTGATCCAACTGGCGCTGGATGCAGTGGATGTTGGGCGCATGACATGAAGCTCACCGGCTGACGACAGTTACTGACTGCAACAAAATTGCAGGTAATGTCGGGAACTGTGTGTGGACTCAGTCGAACACATAATGAATGCATTCGATATTTTGCTGCCCTGGGTTCAGCTGTTTCGACACCGAGGACGAGTGCTGGAAGCGGGCACTCACGCCGAGCTACTGGAACTGAATGGGTACTATGCTAGCTTGGTGGCTGCAGAACGACATAAGGAATTGTGAACCAGGCCACACAAGAGCCTCTCAAAAACATGGGCTACAAGAAGTAGGGAACGGCTGCACGCGGGGTCATCATGTTGCTGTTCTCGTCAGTCTCAGTGAAGTACTTCACCTCTCGCTCCAGTGCTGAGTCAAAGCACAGGATGGATGCCACATTGCCGCATCGGTAGCAGTAGTTGGGGGCAGACCACACCGTCACAAGGGATCGGTCTTGGAACATGTACTTCAAGCCTTCCTGCAGGGTGTGGAGCCCACACAACTGCATGGCCTCTGACGTTGGCAGCCACTCGTACTGGCACCATGGCAGCTGAATGCACATAGGCGCACCTGCACCAACTGGTGTGCACGGCATATGAGCTCCAGGCTGTTGACCATGTTGAATTCGGTGGCAACCTTTCCCCCAAAAAGCCAGCCTGCAGGCGGCAGCAAGATGTGCCGGTACTGTTGGGACGCGGCGGCGCCCCCGTCCTTCGCAGCCACATTGCACGCGGTACAGCGCCGCTGGGAGGGGCATCTTTTCCCCCGAAATCCACCCAGAAACCCAGCATCGCCCTGGGCGCACACCAACTTGACCAGTCGCACCTGCGCCGCGCGGCGACACGGCCCAGCTGTCAATGTCCTCGGGGTCTGACCACATCAAGTCGCAGAACGGTCCTTCATGCGGTATCTCGCACACGCGGTCAATCATCCGCACTTGGTCCAGCGTGCGCACATCGGGCGACAGCCCACCGTGAACGCACAGCACGCTGCCATCAATGACTGCCTGCATCAAGGCATCAAACTTTCCTTTGGCATTTGGGAAGTGCAGCAGCGTGTGGTTGGCCCCGCCGGAGCGTCACATACCGAGATGGTGAGGTAGTCGAACACCTCGGTGCAGTACCGCCAAGCATTCGCATTGCCATACTTCCTCTGACACTCGTCATAAAAGCCGTAGACCTGGATGGCCGTCCACGGAGCAGGCATCGTGGGACAATGCAGGAGCAGGGAGATGGGGTCGGGTGGGGCACAGCGTGCAGAAAGGGGGCTCACCTGGGTGATCTGCCGGCTCTCGTGGTTGCCCCTTAACAGGGTGACATGGGCTGGGTGCGCGGCTTTGAGCAGCATCAACAGCGTGAACACCTCCAAGCTGTTGTACCCACGGTCGACAAAATCGCCCATGAAGATGTAGTTGGTGCTGGGCACCTGCCCCCCCGTATCAAACAGCTTCAGGAGATCGTGGAACTGGCCGTGGATGTCGCCACAGACCTGCGAAATGTCTCCAGCACCACGTGCTCCAGACAAGACAGACCTTCTAAATGAGTAGAAATGCAAAGCCGCTCCTTACCGTTACTGGGCTGCTGACGGGCTGCACATTGGACTCCTCCACCAGCGCTTCCTTCACTTGGTCGCACAGGGCCTTCAGCTCCTCCTCCGCCAAAAACTCGCCCGCCTTCACCTTCTCTATTAACTTGTGCAGGTCCATGCGATCGAACGATGAGAAGAAGACGACGACGACGACGACGACGAAGAAGAAGAAGAACGCGGGACGCGTGATTTGTACTTCGGCCGTACTGGGAGGAAACGGAGTTCAAGGCCCTGGCTAGCCATTTTTGGGGTTTTTCATCGGTGCTCGCCGCTGCCCGCTTCCCGGCCACCCGCGCCGGCGCCGCCGCTGCAGCCGCTGCTGGCGCCGCTGCCGCCACCGCTGCCGCCGCCGTGGCTGGCCCCGACGAATGAAAGGATAGAGACCGAGGCGCCAGTGATTTGTACTTCGGGAGTACGGGTTGGAGACTGCGGCATCCAGCGACATGCTAGAATTGCGGAGGCTCCTTTTTGTGTCGGCGGTCCAACCTGACACAATCACTGTCATGAAACGGCGACAGGGCAAGGGAAAGGGCCACGGCACCCTTTTCTGCCGGGAAAGCTCCGGGAAGGCCCAGGAATTCAGCCAGTCGGAAAGTGTGGCATGGCCAGAGGATTTTGTAAGGGCGTCGCGGAAGTGGAAAAAACGCACTTTCATGACCGTGGTTGTGTCAGTTGTGGCTGTTGTCAACTGTGTGCCGTAAATCGGGGCGGGCGCAGCACGCCAGCAGGGGGACAGAACGGGTGGCCAGAACAGGCGGTCAAGACGCGGCCAATACAGCCCTCCGAGCGTCGTCACATGAAAAATCGCTGCCTTTGCGACTGCCCTCGCCGCATTCTGGCCACCTGTCCTGGGCCTGTGCTGGTCGTGCGCCGCACCGTCTCTTCTGAGAACAGCCACAACCAAGGATACCCTCTCTTCTCTCTCAAATTACTGAATGTAGGGTTGCCGCCTTAATGCTGACGGCAGGCTGCATGGAGAAAGCGGCGTGGAAATGCACCTGGTTGACCACCAGCTCAGAGGGTGTACCAACACTGTGCTCCCATTGCAGGTGTAATGTAGTCAAGGCGGCGACCACTGAACTGCTAAGGCACCTACCTGGAACGTTTAAGCACGCCGCCGCGCACGGCGCCCGTGCGCCACATGTGTCACAGGTGTTTGCCGTACCGTTGCGCTGCTTTTCGGCTGCAACCAGTGTGCGCTTGGTGAGCGCCCTTGTCAGGCAAGGACACTGTCTTGCAGCGCAATGAATGATGAATGAAATGATTGTCAATATGCACAATCTCACTGCCACGGGCCAAACCTGTCGATGCACGCCCGGCATCGATGCCACGCAGCGGGGGTGGACTAAGGCGAGAGGCATGGGCAAGAGGGGCGGTTCTGTCCTAGCTGGGAGAGGGTAGGACAGCATGCCGACAGGGCCATGCCGCCGCCAGCCCCCGGGGCCCCATCCCAGCTTTCCCATCCTACCTACCTTTCCCAGCTGCCGCCGACGCCAGCCCCGGGGGGCCCATCCCAGCTTTCCCATCCTACCTACCTTTCCCAGCCGCCGCCGCCGACCCCCGGCGGCGGGTAGGAAAGGTAGGCAGGATGGGAAAGATAGGACGGGGCTCCCTGCGGAGCGCCGCTCCCTGGGCTGGGACAGCTAGGAAGCCTGGGAGGCGCAGGTGGGAAGGCTCAGCTAGGATGAGGCCGGACATGGAGGAGGGGGGCCAGCATCCAAGCTAGGCAGCTGGGAACCAAATTTCATGCCTAGCTAGGACTGTCCCAGATTTTCCAGCTCGGATTTCACAGCACAAAAAATGTGTCCTAGCTAGGAATCCGACCGCCTCTTGCCCATTCCTGTAAGGCGAGCGAGTACTGCGGCAATACCGATTCTGGCAGTCGTCTCTCGATGCTCGGCCCCTATCACTCTCTCATCTTCACCTATCCTGCCCCCGGACCATCCGCCACACGGGCCCATCTGCACTGATTGGGGCATTGAAAACGCTGGAACTTGCAAGATGAGCGGGCCCGCAATTGGCATCGATTTGGGCACCACCTACAGGTGTGTATGGCTGCTGACCAGTGCGAGCCGCGCCAGGCGTCGCGCTTCTAGATGCTGCCGCGGCAGTTCTGCGCCGCATTGCTGGGCATCCTTGCTTGCCCGACGCCTTATGGATGCACCATGCTTTTCTTTCATCGGGGGCGGATGCCAGGCGTGCGCATGCGGGGGAAGCCGCCGATTAGGCGCTTCTAGACTGCCGGCCCAGCCGTTGCTCTTCCCAGCGGCTGCCCGTCCACTGGCCTGCCTACCGCACATGAGAGTGCGGTAAGGGCCGTAACAGGCCCTCTTGGCTGCCTAACCCTGCTGCATCACCTCTGCCGCCTCATCTCTGCCGCCACCGAACCCCCACCGCGGCCCCCGACCAGAGTTGCACCCCCCGCCTGCAACCTGCTGCAGCTGCGTTGGCCTGTGGCAGCACGACCGCGTGGAGATCATCCCCAACGAGCAGGGCAACCGCACCACGCCGTCGTATGTGGCATTCACCGACACCGAACGCCTTATTGGCGACGCCGCCAAGAACCAGGTTGCGATGAACCCCATCAACACGGTGTTCGATGCCAAGCGGCTCATTGGACGCAAATTCTCCGACCCCACCATCCAGCACGATGTCAGCCACTGGCCCTTCAAGGTGGTGGCTGGCCCTGGCGACAAGCCCATGATTCAGGGTGAGTGCGGGGTGCCCCACGGCTGACACCCCTCGGCCTTCCTGGCCTGCTGCAACGCGCAAGCAGGTTGCTGACCAACCCTGTTGCCCTCTGGACCCCCGTGTTGTGCAGTTGCCTACAAGGGGGAGGAGAAGACGTTTGCCCCAGAGGAGATCAGCTCCATGGTGCTGGTTAAGATGAAGGAGATTGCGCAGGCGTACGTCGGCGCGGACAAGGAAGTGAAGAAGGCGGTTGTGACGGTGCCCGCCTACTTCAATGATTCGCAGCGGCAGGCCACCAAGGTGCGGAGCAGGCGTGGGCAGCGGGAAAAGCCTTGTGTATGGCTACCACTCGCGGATCAATCACGCAGAGTGCAGTGCCTCAGAAGCACAAGGCAACTCGGGTTTGCCTCTTTTGTCTCTGCCGCCCTGTGCTCCTGGCTCTGGTGGCCATTTGAGACGGGGAGTCGCGGCGCTGCCCTCGCTTTTGACCTCCATGCTCGTGCCCTGCTGCTACCCAGGACGCCGGCGTCATTGCGGGACTGGAGGTGATGCGCATCATCAACGAGCCCACTGCTGCCGCAATCGCCTGTGAGTGCGTGGTATGTGTTGTGGAGCGGGCTTGTGTGAGCACCCGCCAGCAAGCTGACGGCCGTGCCCACCTAGGCATTTTTTGAGCAAAAATATTGCGCTTTTCCTGGTTGCTGCAGACGGCCTGGACAAGAAGGGTGAGTAGGGGCTTGAAACGTTGCACCAGAGCATTTCCTGCCATCAGGCTCAACTTGTAGCCAGTGGGCATTTGGGGCAGGAAGATCCAGTTCTCTCAGGTGCACATTTTTGCCCGTCCACTCGCTCGTGTCGCCGTGTTTCTACAGGCACCACCAGTGGCGAACAGAATGTACTTATTTTTGACCTGGGCGGTGGCACCTTTGATGTGTCCCTGCTGACAATTGAGGAGGGCATCTTCGAGGTTGGTGGGCCAGACAGTGGTGCCATGCTTGTCACGAACAGTAGTAGTCAGCAGCGATGACAGGACTTGGCCTGTCCCGCCACCGTGAGTGTTATCTTTACCTGCAACGTGCTGCAGGTCAAGGCAACAGCTGGCGACACCCACCTTGGCGGCGAGGACTTTGACAACCGCCTGGTCAACTTCTTTGTGCAGGCAAGTGTTAAGTGTTATGGCGGCGTGCATGCTCAAAGCTGGCTGCCTAGCAATACAAAGCGTGAATGGCCGACCTTGCTTCGTGCACCGCAGGAGTTCAAGCGGAAGCACCGCAAGGATATCAGCTCCAACCCCCGCGCCCTCCGCCGCCTGCGCACCTCCTGCGAGCGTGCCAAGCGCACGCTGTCCTCGTCCACCCAAGCATCCATTGAGATTGATTCTCTGTACGAGGGCATTGACTTCTATTCCTCCATCACCCGTGCCCGCTTCGAGGAGCTGAACATGGATCTCTTCCGCAAGTGCATGGAGCCTGTGGAAAAGGTGTGGCCTCCTTGCTGGCTCCCATCCTTCTCTTGTTCCTGCATGGGGCACCCGTGCCCAGCCACGTCTTGGCTGCACACGTCTGCAGGTGCTGCGCGATGCCAAGATGGACAAGGGGCAGGTGAATGAGGTGGTTTTGGTTGGCGGCTCGACGCGCATTCCCAAGGTGCAGCAACTGCTCCAGGATTTTTTCAACGGCAAAGAGCTGTGCAAGTCTATCAACCCAGATGAGGCTGTGGCGTACGGCGCAGCTGTTCAGGTAGGGTCTGTCGCGCTGTCTGCCATGCCTCGCTCATTCTTTGCTGACACTGACACTGGATGCGGTGCCTGTGAGAGTAGTGCGCAGCGAAACCGGCAAAGCATCACACTGCCTCTCCACCGTGATGCAGGCGGCCATCCTGAATGGCGAGACGCACGAGAAGGTGCAGGACCTGCTGCTGCTGGATGTGATCCCCCTGTCCCTCGGCTTGGAGACGGCAGGTGGTGTGATGACGGTCTTGATTGCGCGGAACACAACCATTCCCACCAAGAAGGAGCAGGTCTTCTCCACCTACTCTGACAATCAGCCTGGCGTACTGATCCAGGTGGGCTTGCATGTTGGAGGTGTGGGTTTGATTGTTTGGGTGGCGTTGCATCTCTTGTCTGTGTGTTGCCTCCGTGCTTTGGTGTTGTCATTGGTGCAACACTGTCTGTTGCAGGTGTATGAGGGCGAGCGCTCCCGCACCAAGGACAACAACCTGCTGGGCAAGTTTGAGCTGACGGGTGAGTTTGCAGCGCCAAGCTGGTTCCTCCTCGTCAGATTCCCCGTGCATCTGGCTTCTGATTAAGATCATGGCACACGTGAAGCTACCGCCATCGCTGGCCGCTTATGTTGCCTTGCTTCAATACCTGCCCGGCTGCCGCTGGTGCAGGCATCCCGCCTGCGCCCCGCGGCGTTCCACAGATCAACGTCACGTTTGATGTTGATGCAGTAAGAGCTTTTTCCTTCCTGTGTTGGCCGATTTCGGTTGCGCTCATGTATGCAAAGGGGTGGACGACTCATGTCTGCTCCCACACTTTGTTTTCCTCAGAACGGCATCCTGAACGTCTCTGCCGAGGACAAGACCACCGGCAACAAGAACAAGATCACCATCACCAACGACAAGGGGCGCCTTAGCAAGGACGAGATTGAGCGGATGGTGCAGGAGGCCGAGAAATACAAGGCAGAGGATGAGACTCATCGTACTCGTGTCGAGGTGCGCCATCCTTCTCAATTGGTGTTTGGCGGCCTCTTGGTGGTCGGTGACGTCTTGCTTTGTGGTGGTGGCTCAAGGCAGACAACTCCAGTTAGATTGCATCGAAAATCGAGTTGTTGCTGGCTGCAGGCTCGCAACGGCTTGGAAAATGCGGCTTACGGGCTCCGGAACACCGTCAGGGACACCAACCTGGCCGACAAGCTGAGCGCTGAAGACAAGGAAGCGATTGAGAAGGCTGTGGACAAGGTGGTGGACTGGCTGGACCACAACCAGGTGAAGTTCTGATTATGCGGATTTGTTTTGGGGGAAGGTAGTCTCCATTGAACATTGTTCATCCTGCTAAACTTGCAGCTGGCCGAGGAGGAGGAGATCACCCACCAGCGTGAGGAGATGGAGGCGGTGTGCAACCCCATCATCACAAAGCTCTACCAGGGCGCCCCCCCGCCGCCAGAGGCAGGCGGGGCCAGTGCCGGCGGTGCAGCATCCGGCCCGGGCCCCAAGATCGAGGTGAGTCGAGGGTTGCCGCCTGCCTACGGTTCCTTCTTGGCTGGTGCGTGCTCTTGTCTTGAAGTGCTTCCGGGAAGGGGTGCAGCTGGCTCAGCACTAATGTGTCCCCCCCTGCTGGACCACATGCTGCAGGAGGTGGACTGAGTCGTCTAGAGACAATTATTTTGGAGGTGCAGCCGGTGCGTTTCAATCATAACTCATTTAGCTGTCTTGATGTGCGTCGCTGCCAACAGCGCTGAAACAAATTTAGAAATGCACGCGTTCGCCTGAGAGCGATCCACCAGTGGAATGCACAGTAGAGACATGTCAAGGGTTCGGGTTCATCTTTTTGAAGGCCCCCTCGACTTGCAGCAGAGGCCCCCAATCCATGCTGCCATTCATGGATCGGTAGCATATCCTACGGAGGCACAGTGCATCCAAATTGTATAGGTAGCTGCAACCATCACTGGGCTTAGGCATCGACTTGCTGATCAAAATCATAGCCTTGCTCTCTCAGCTCGTCGAGATGGGCTCTGAATAGCCCAGCCTGCTCCTCTGCCTTCTCCCAAACGCGCTGCTTGTTGCACAACACGTCACCCTCCTCTAGCTCGAGCTCTGTGTGGGCATGCCATGCACATAGTCAGATACCATGTCGGGAGGTGGTGCAGGAAAAGGGGGACGAGGAATTCAGCGGTGTGTGGTGTTCACCTGCGATGGAGAGAGAGATGTTGGTGTAGCCAGGATCCAGTCCCATTACCAGGCACTTGACCTCCTCACCAACCTCGAACACACCCTGCAAAGCGATCAGTAGTTCTATGATGCCATTCAGGCACCTTCCTGAGAATGGTGCTGTTGGAAACAACAGGCAGCCTAGGCCGATAAAGATCAACCACGCCACTCACTTGCACAGTCTCAATGTGCTGCCGCGAGACGTTTGAGATGTGGAGCAGGCCGCTAACGCGAGTGTTATTGATGCCCACAAACACTCCAAATGGCTCTATGCGACGCACGCTGCCAGTGACAAGGGTGCCCACCTGTGCCACAGAAAGCAGAGGCGCAAGTGGCCGTCAACCGACGCCGGCAACATCCACTCCGAACCGTACTCTTAGGCAGGAGACCGCATCAGACGGCAGCCAGGTAGGTGCGCACCTCAAGCTGACGCAGATCGTCATTCTCTTTGGCTTTCACAACCGAGCAAACTACTTTGCGGCTTGTCCGTGCGACTTCCAAAATGGCAAGGCTCACCTCCTGTCCAGCAAACTGGGCTGTCATATCCTGCATATCCACGCGGGGCATGAGAGCAAAGAGCGCATGATGTCAACCCAACACACCGCCTGACCTGACCGTACTGCTGACCCCGCCAGGCGAAATTAACAGAAAACAAAGCAGATGCAGAGATCGCGACAGCCAACCACGCTTGCCTGCTCCGTCCACCACTCGTTGTGCCCCTTCTTCTCTAGTTGTGACACAGGCACAAAAAGGGAGAGCCCGTTCAGGCGGGACAACAGCCCTCCATTGTTGGCACCCTCCACAGTCACCTTCAAATTCTCCTTGTGCTGCATGATTAGTGGGGCACATGCAGCCTGTCCCAGCTTAACCACTGATCGAAACAGGGCCACACGGGGAGGAGGTCAGGGAAGCGTCGTCTGCATACAATGTTCTTCAGACCTGCGTGGAGACGTCGCATAGCTGTGCTGCGCGCTGCCATAGTACATCCAAGTCACAGAGGCGGGCGGACAGGAGGGGCCCCGACTGGGCCTTTCCTCCACCCTGGGATGGGATATTGATGACCTTGAATGTGCGCACGAGACCTTTGGGCAGGCAGGGCCCCTGCACAAGCATGAGGCAGCAACAAGCATTAGGCGGCAACAAGCTCCGTGGTCATGGAGCTCCACAGTAACCACAGCTTGAAATGGGCAACTGGTGTAGCAGACAAGTGCTGCGCCCTGACATCTCCCGGACCAGGGTGGGGCTCAGTGGTGCGGCTGCTACACGTGCTGGCGCAGGGCACCAGCGTGGGGGGCTCACAAAGCCCCGACGGCTGGGGCAGGAGACGACGGCACACCTCGCGGCCTGCAGGGGTCGCCCGATCCTCCAATGCGTCCCTTATCACAAAGGGGGCCTCACGGGATGGCATGAAGCCGATGGTGTCATCAGGCAGCAGCACTTTGGCGCCCTTGGGCCCGGCCCACACCACGGTTCCCACCACCTCGGCCCCCTCCTGCACCGCTGCTGCCGACTGTGCCAGCGGCGCCGCCGCTGCCACCGCGCCCAACTGCTGCCGCCTCCTGCTGTTGCCGTGCCCCCTACATATGGCCGGTTGCGTCATGAGTCCCGGCGCCGCCGCGGAGACGCGGCCATGCATGCTTGACATAAGCAAGAGGACAGCGGGGGAGAGTGACACCGAATGGGACCTTACGGCATGAGGAAGAGCTCAAGGCTCTCTATCCAGTCGACATGGCGACACGGAGGACTCTCTCGACCATCAGGATGGGGCCCCGCCCCCCATCACTTGCTTTGCAAAAACCATGCACATGGCAGCCTTGCGTGTGTTGCACAGAAGTGGCGTGAGCCTACACCTAGGCTCACGACGGCTCAGTGTGTTGGGATGTCTTCCCAGAGGTGTGGCACCAGCACGTGTGCCACACATTGTCACAGCTGCCGCAAGCAACGTCCAAGTTGACACGCCCGCAGCCCAGCCGCCCGACTCCCAAGTACCCACTGTGCCGCCAACTCTGGCCTCTCTTCCCACCTCAGAAGAGTCAGAAGACCTGCTGCGCATCCGCCACAGCGTGAGTCGTGGCGGGATTGAAAGCAGTGGCGGTGGAGCCCTACGCCCATACACCACCGCGCTTGGGCGAAGGGAGGTTGAATGCTCAAGCAACCATAGCTGCAATGCTGTGGCTGCCATGCACAGAAGCTTGCCGTTGGTGTGCCCACCCATCTCCTTGCAGTGTGCACACATCATGGCCATGGCGGTGCAACGACTACACAAGGGGGCGCAGGTGCTGTTGCCTGCCCCTCGCGCCTAGCTGCACAGCTATCAAACCCAGCTTGGCCGGCACGCACTTCAGGAGTCCTCATGCAGCTGGTGATAGTGCTGTGCAGCAGACCCCCTGTGCGTGATGCCGCCAGCGAGCCCGGGGCCGGAATCGGCACATGCCCGTGCAGGTGACCATCGGCCCGTGGACCGACCGCGGCTTCTTTTATGACTTTGACATGCCCCAACCCCTCACGGAGCGCGACCTACCCAAGATTCGCAAGGAGATGCAGCGCATCCTCAAGAAAAACCTGCCGTTTGTGCGAGAGGATGTGTTGGCAGAGGAGGCCCGGCGCCGCATCCAGGCGAGCTACTACGCATGCCCTGCCCAACGGAGCACCCCTCTTCGTGTGCCTGTTTCACAGTTGCAAGTTGGTGGCAGCCCATCATCTCGCACACAGTACCCGGCTGCGCTCTACAGGCGGCTGGCGAGCCCTACAAGTTGGAGATCTTGGACTCCATTTTGGAAAGGGACCCCCAGGCCCCCATCACCATCTACCACATAGGTGCATCACAAAGTGGGACGGCGGGTTTTGTCGGCGAGGATGCAGGAAGCCCGTTGCTTTTCCGTAATGGTTGCTTGGTTGCATGGTTGCTTGGAGGCGCATGCATTGCACTCGCAGTTCTGTGCGAGCTATCGGTCCCAGCATGTTGGCTGCCTCACAGGCACCCCTGGCAGCGAGGATCACTGGTGGGACCTGTGCGCTGGGCCCCATGTGGCAGCCACCGGCGACATCCTTCCAGATGCCCTGGACCTGGAATCTGTAGCAGGTCTGCCTGATGAGATAGGTTGAACGCTTGCAGTGCGACAGTCACGATGCAGCCCACCAACATTCAAAGGTTGCAAAGTGCGGAGGTCGCCGCAGCAAGATCCACCTGCAGGCCACAGTATGCGACGCATTTATGCCTCGCTGCAGGCGCCTACTGGCGGGGCGATGAGACTAGGCCCATGCTGCAGCGCATCTATGGCACTGCATGGCAAACAAAAGAGCAGGTTTGCTGAATGTTTGGCAGTGGCATTTTGCACAGGTGTTCATGAGCAGCTCTCTCTGTCCCAACTGGCTTGCTCTACATGGCCTGGGAGCCCATCTCCTGCTGCCACTTGTTTTCAGTTGATAGCCTACCATCGATTCAATGAGGAGGCTGCACTTCGGGATCACCGCCGCCTGGGCCAGGAGCTGGACTTGTTCAGGTGAAAGCCAATGAGCATTTTTCCAGACCATGTGGTGTGGCAGGCACCGGTATTCTTGGACCATCAGGCCCATGCCAGGATGCATTGGCAGCTTGCAGCTGCAGAATTGCCTCTGGTTCTCGTAACACATGCCCGCATCTTGTTGCTGTTTGGAGCGCAGCATCAATGAAGCGTGTGGAGGGGGCCTGGTGTTCTGGCACCCCAAAGGAGCCATGGTGCGAGCGGTCTGTGTTTTTCCTATGCGCCCCTGATCGTGTGCTGTCTCTGCCATGCAGACCACCAATTGTTGATATTTGGAACGACACTGCCAAGGCATGCAGGTTCGCCATTTAGTTGAGGACTTTTGGAAGAGCATTCATTTGCAGTATGGCTATCACCTGCTCTTCACTCCACACATTGCCAAGGTCTGCTTGACGCTGGGTGGTAACAGTGAGCCAGTTGACTGTGGGTCATCATGTGCCTAAGAAAACAGCCTGTGCTGCCAGCCAGAATATCAGCTGCCCAATGCTCTGCGGCCACAGGTAGATTTGTGGAAAACCAGCGGCCATTTTGACTTCTATCGGGACTCCATGTTCAACCAGATGGATGTGGATGCTGAGGAATACCAGGCAAGCTAACCACCAATTGTTGTTCCACACCATAAGACAACTCAGCTGCTGCGTGCAGGGGTGTAATGAACTGAACTGACACTCATTTTTGTGGCAAAGGAACCGATTTGGCATTGCTCGCCAGTCCTCCTACTGCACCGCAGCTCAAGCCCATGAACTGCCCCTTTCACATCACCATCTACAAGCAAGGATATTACTCGTACCGAGACCTGCCGATCAAATGGGCAGAGCTTGGAACCGGTGAGAGGGGAGAACGATAGCGCAATTACATACCCAGTCATGCCAGCGGAAACACACCAAAGGTGCACTTGGTTGCTCTGCCTTTGAAATGCCTTCTGCAGTGTATCGTTATGAGCGAAGCGGGACAATGCACGGTCTGTTCAGAGTCCGCGGGTTCACTCAGGCAAGAATAAGCGCAACCTCTTCATTTGCTGTGTTGCAGTTGCAGCATAGGCTGTTCGGCTTATTTCTGCAGTGTAGAGAAAGTGCGTGGGGTGGATCTGCAGGACGACGCGCACATCTTCTGCTTGCCCACCCAAATTGAGGCGGAAATCCTTGGTGTGCTGGACCTTACAGAATTGCTGCTGTCCCAGTTTGGATTCCATGATTTTGAGGCAAGCTGGTACTGCAAAAAATGTTTGTATTGATGAGTCCATTCTCACGATTCTATGCAGTACCCTCTGCATAACCTGTTTAGCACCCGTCTCCAAGACTGACCAGTAAACGAAAGCCTCCCCCAAGACCATGCCTGCAGGTGAACCTGTCCACGCGTCCTGACAAGTTTGTTGGGTCACCTGAAATCTGGGACCAAGCAGAACACGCGCTGAAAGCCGCACTGCAGCGCAAGGTGAGGATCAACACGGCAGTGCCTGCTATCTGCGACTTCCCGTGCTGCCACATTGCGTGCTATCTGGGACCTCCCGTGCTGCCACAGGCAGCCGCTCAATCATACATCAACCTCTGGTGACATGCTTGCGCACGGTATGCTTTTGTGCCCAGGGATGGGCGTTTGCAGAGGATGTTGGGGGTGGAGCCTTCTACGGGCCCAAGATCGACATCAAAATCTGTGATGCCATTGGCAGGAAGTGGCAGTGCTCTACCGTGCAGGTGGCCTAGCTGCAACGATGCATGTTTGGTTCACTCTTGTGCATCCTAGCCTGCCGCATCTGTGGTTCATTCTGCTGCAGCCTCTCCCCACCTGCCGCCCTGCTGTGTTTCTGCAGCTGGACTTCAACCTGCCAGAGCGCTTTGACATGTTCTACATCAGGTGCGAGGAGCCAGACAATCATGGCAGCTTGCTGTTTGCACCATCGGCTTGTGCCAGTGGTGTGTAGCTCCCTGCACTTTCGTTTTGCCTGTGCGACTGCAGTGATGCCAACATCAAGGAGCGCCCCATCATGATCCACCGCGCCATTCTTGGCTCCCTGGAGAGGTTCATGGGCATCCTAATAGAGAACTATGCAGGTGCGGCATGTGTCTCGCTGGCTTCCCAGGCGCAGAGTGCGCAATTGGCAGAAAGCGGAAAGCAGCACCCCTCGGTTTGCTGCTGCTGCTGCAGGTGCCTTCCCACTATGGTTGGCTCCGGTACAGTGCCGGCTGGTGCCCGTCAACGACGCCGTCATGGGGTATGTATCTGGCGTCGCGCAGGCGCTGCAAGCAGCTGGTCTTCGCGTGGAGGTCTCTTCGGGTGCGTCTGCTGCTGCTGCTGCCGCTGTTGAGTGTGTCAGCGTGGCTGCCCGTGCACAGAATCCTTTTGTCACTTTCCGAGCGTGTTTGCTGGCGCAGGCCTGTCGGTGGGCAAGGCCATCCGTGCTGCCGAGAAGGACAAGATCCCGGTGATGTGCGTGGTTGGGCAGCGCGAGGCGTCGGCAGGCACAGTGGCCGTCCGAACCTACTCTCACGGCGATGTAGGGTGCATGCTCGTTGAGGACCTTGTTGAGCGCATGGCGAAAGCCAGCGCCAACAAGCAGCCCTTTTCATGAGTGGCCATTCGGCGGTGGAATGCAACGTCGGGGAACGGGACACGATGGTGTAACGCCCAGAGGTCCACCTCATTCTAGAAAATGACGAGCCCTCAACTGTAGCAGTTTGCACTCAACTGTAGCGTGCTTGCATACGACTGCTAACTTGCGTTGTTGAAATCCGAAAAGTATTCGCCACGGCGCTGGGGTCGTGATCATGCGATTATACAGCAGCATGCGCTCTTGTGTTATGTCAAACATCACAAAGAGCTGGAGTTCGGAGTTGCATGCAGAAAAACCGGGGTCCACAGGGCTGCCCCTCTCCACGGGGAGCCTCCCCTCCCCCGGCCTCTTTCGGCTGCTCTCCTCTGAGCGCTTCGCGACTGGAGCACGATGGGGAGACGTGAGCGCGTCGCGGCTTGCATGATGTCATGGCATGTTCTCCCAACCCTCCTGTTGTTGCTGCGTGCCCCTCTGCTGTTCTGCTGCTCACTCCTGAAACAGAGCGGGCCGTGTGGAAGTCGCTGCCCGGTTGCACTGCGCCTCTCTGTCGCTCGGGGGCGTGAGCAAAACTCGCTTGGGCTATGAAGTTGGCGTTCATTTGTATTTCTTGGCGTCAGGGTCCTCGCCTATGCCGCCTCCACCCAGAAGTACCCACCGCCGCTGACCGACGAATAGCTGCGGGCCTGTCGCCCGGCCCGCCTTGCAGGTCCAGCGCGGTGCTACCGCCAGATCAAGGGCAAGCCGTACCCCAAGTCACGGTTCTGCCGGTGCGCGCACCAGCTCTGGGGTGGGGGGCAGGGGGCGCGGTGTGCGCACGCCACCTGTCGGGTGTCATTTTCTAACAAGGCCGTGGCATTGCAGCGAACCTGGCCACAGCCCACCTGCCTGCTGTGCGACCTCGCAGTGGCGTGCCGGACTCCAAGATCCGCATCTATGATGTCGGCGCCAAGAAGGCCGCCGTGGACTTCTTCCCCCACTGTGTTCACCTGGTCAGGTGAGCGACACATCGCTGTTGGTTGCCACTGGTGCCTCTGCCGCTGGCGGTTCTGTTGCTGTTGGGCTCAAGCGACCGGGCGTGCTGCGCAGCTGGGAGAAGGAGAACATCTCCTCAGAGGCACTGGAGGCTGCGCGCATCGCTGCCAACAAGTACATGACAAAGAATGCCGGCAAGGACGCCTTCCACCTGCGCGTTCGCGTGCACCCCTTCCATGTGCTGCGCATCAACAAGATGCTTTCGTGCGCGGGCGCGGATAGGCTGCAGACAGGTTGGTGTGTCGGCGCACACCCGGCTCCAGGCCCTTGACCATACCTCCACGCCAGCACACCGTCGTGCATTGCTACTCGAGGGGCCGCTGAAGCCGTGCCATGCCCTGGGTGCCGTGTTTGTGTGGCTTTGTCGGCCTGCAGGCATGCGGGGCGCGTTTGGCAAGCCATTTGGCGTGTGCGCGCGTGTGTGCATCGGCCAGATCTTGCTGTCCATTCGCTGCAAGGATGCGCACACGGCTGTTGCTGAGGAGGCCCTGCGGCGCGCCAAGTTCAAGTTCCCAGGCCGGCAGAAGATTGTCGTGAGCAGGAACTGGTCAGTAAAGTGCAGCATTTTCCTGTGTGGCCCTCGTCCGCACAAACCGCTATATGCATCTATCACTTGCATGTATGCTTCTCACACTTCAATTACGGCAATGCACACAATGTGCAGGGGGTTCACCCCGTATCTTCGGGACGACTACCTGGAGTGGAAGAGGGAGGGGCGGCTTGTCAACGATGGCGTGAATGCCAAGGCAAGTGGGGATCGCAGTAACGTATACCGGTGTGTTCCATCACTTGAGCCTCGTTGCCGCCGGAATCCCCATGTGCTGCAGCTGCTTGGCAACCATGGTCCTCTGGATGCCCGAGACCCGGGCCAGATTTTCGAGGGGCCCGCCCGTCTGTGGCGCGTGCCCGTGCATGCCTGATGTGATTTGCGGCTCTGCTGTTCCTCTGTACCGCAATCCTGATTTTCTGAATTGAGGATAGAGGTTACATGCTATGCACCTGCTGTAACTGGAAGGGGAAATAACCTCCAAAGACAGCCATTCCATCGCTGAAAGACATCTCTCATGTCCTGGGCGTGCTCCCAAAATTCGGTGTGCTGCCCAGGACCATGGCATCCTCCAACTCGCTGTCCTCGTCTGCACAGCACTCAAAACCCAATAACCAACATGTGTTAAACCTGGCAGATCTTGCCATTGGGCACCCGCTAGCCATTGCATGCTGGTACTCAGAACCGCACCATCATCATATGCATACTCGGGTGGGAGGTCCAAATTTTGCTTCAAACTTCCCATATCACTGAATGCATCCTCGCACTCCATCATCCTAGTGCTGATGTAACCCATGTCGTAGCTTCGAATCATTGGAGAGGTGCCCAAACTGCAAATATGATTTTTTTTCAATGTTCATTTGAACCATCAGATAAGAAAGAGGGTGATTTGCATCATACCACTGCAAATGCGGACGACAGCCCCCATGCACAATCAATGCTATCATGGTGCTCACCTAAGCCCGCCTTTGCCGAGGGATTGTGCCATCCACTCTGGACCCTGAACAACACAGCGAGGACAAAAGCAACAGCATCCTGGACACGGCACTCTATGTTTTGAACCAAGCGGCTACCGGTTGTAACCGACTTTGTACCTGTAATGTCGGTCGTGGCTGGCTCGTGTGCTGCTCCCCGCATGGAATGCACACTGCTTCGCTTAATGCCGCTTGGGAGGGCGCTCGTGGAGCCGAGGCAGTAGGCGATGCCTGGCTGCCCTGCCAGGCATCTTGATGTGATGCCAGCAGCTGGGCTTGGAAGGCTTCCTCCTCTGGCAGGGGGAAATTGCACTTGGCATGTACTCCCCTGCACGAATCAGAGAGACGCACAAGCCAACAGTGGCAGTGCGAGATCCACAACTTGCTTGGCAAGATGCTACCCACATGGGCAAACGCTCGCATGCCAGAGCGGTGTCCGGGATAATCGGGGTGGAGAAATGCAGCATTCTGGGTGTTTTAGGGCACAATGTTGCTGAATTCCAACTCCTCTAAGCCCAAATAGCAGTGACCAGCCCTCCACCCCGATTCTCCCTGACCACTCTGCCATGATGACCAGCACATGCCTGATAGCTCGAGCGGCTTGGTCATAAGCTCGTGCAGCTTCCTCTGCTGTATCAAATGTCCCCAGCCACCGACGCGCACCCACAGTAGGATCTCGAATCTCAGCCGCCCACTTGCCCCATGGCCGCTGGCGCACACCCCTGCGTGCAGTCAACATGGTGTTGCAACAGCCAACGGCAATCAACTGAACTGTTTGACATGCGAGCCCGGTGGCATAGCTGAGTGGTGCAGTCGTTACCTGAAAGTGTTGCTTCTGCTACTGCCTGATGGTGGCGGTTGACCCTGATGCTGTCCAGCTGCAGATGATGAGGCGAATGGTGCCTCAACGGGCGTGGCAATGCCAGCAGGCAGTGGCTGCACCTGCACATTGCGCAGTAGAATGTGTGTTGCACAGTGGAAATGGCAGAAGATCACAGGTCCAGGGCAACTGATGGGTCGCAAGCGTCATGGCAGAGGCTATCATTATCGCACCGTCGCGGGAGTGGTGCGAGCAACCTCCTCGGGCCGTGTCGAAGTACGAAGCTCCACTGCACGAAGCGCGCATAGCATTCTTGGATCTCAGGCTTGACACATAATCCATCTGGCATGCTAAGCGTGGTAATGCCAGTACTACTGCGCATCACAACCCCATCCTGTGATGTGGATGCACAAACCTGCCAGGGCGCCTGGTCTAGAAATCGTTGAGGCAGGCGCCAGCCGAGTGGCAGAGCTCCCTGCTCCTAAAAGCGGCCCCGCAGCTGGCAATCCAGCTTGTGGGTGTGCACCGGGGGCTGCGCCACGTGGGGGAACTGGATGCAGGTGTGCAGGCCTGCTCTCTGCCGACTGCACCATGGTTGCCGGCGGTGCCATGTAACCCCGGGGTATTGCGCCTACACCAGCCGCAAGCCCGGGTGCGCCAGTGCCCAGCGGACGTGGCTGTGGTAGCAGCATCTGTGGTGCTCCAGAAAACGTGGCAGGGCGTGGGACTGGCAGCGGCCGGGGCACTCCGTGTCCCTGCAGCAGCTGCCGGGACAAGGCGTCTAATTGGGTAATCACATTTCGAACTTTGCATTCACTGTAAAGCTTATTGCACCCACCGGCATCGTGCTGACATGGCCTGCCCTAACTTGTGGAAATGGGATGCCTGGGCGTGGCTGCTGCGGAAAAAGCATGCTCGAGCGCGCCTGCACTCAGTCACACCACATTCATTGGGGTTCAGGCAGATAAGAAGGGCAGCAGAGAGCAGCCCCCTGCTGGTTTGCACTTCTAACATAAGGCGTTTGAGGCAAGTTTACCTGAGCGGGAACGGCAAATCCTGCACCAGGCCGTGCAACAACTCCTTGAGGTCCTGCTGCTGGCCTTGCTATGGGAGGGGCGGGCCCTGTGCATGCAACGGAGATGGGCAAGCATGTCTGAGCCTGGCAGTGTTGAACAGCACCGGCGATTTGGCAGGGGGCGTCGCAGCGGAATAAACTGGGGGAAGCGTCGGCTTTGTGCTGAGGTGCAAAAGCCATGAGAAGCACCCACCTGGCCCATACGCTGGCCGGGGCATCGTGCCAGAAGGAGCCGCCGAGGGCATGCTGGGCAATGGCAGCGCCGCGGCTCCCATGCCCAGTTGCGGTGCCCAGGTGGTCTTGCTGGAAAGCTGGCCGGGTGCAATGGCAGCGCTGTGGGCGGCCCCGGGTGCCGCCGGCATATCGCCGTCCATGCCCGGTCTCCCGGAGACGCAGAAATAATCGCAGGACGCAACAACCTGGTGGGCCAAAGGGTGGGACGGCATATAAATGAGCACAGTGTCCAACCAAGGACGGCACGTAGCGCAGGCGCTGGGAGGCGCTGCAAGGCGGCGTTAGGAGATGCTCTCTTCGGACGCTCTGCTGGTCCGACTCGGCGGGGCAATCTCGCTTCCTTCCCTGGCTTCTTCCTGGAATTAGCTTCTTCCAGAGGCCGCCCTGAGCTGACAGAACGAAGTGCAGCCCTGGACTCGCCTGCCCTGGCCTGCCGCGTCTGCTAGTCCAGCCGTTCAGGGTCTCCCAAGAAGAAACCTCTTCTGTGGAGGTCTTCGGCGGGCGCTGGCTGTTGCCCTCTCAGAGAGAGCGCAATTGTCGCTCCCCCAGAATTTGCACACAGTTTAGCCTAGCACACTCGGTCAGATGCGAGTTCCAGAGCCCTGTGCAGGAAAATACGAAAACCCGACCACAAGGGTTTCTGACCTGGCTGCAGCCAAGAGCACCCGCCAAGACCGTTTTCCAAAGAGCCCCCCGTCAATGCAATCTCTACCCGCATGCTTCCTTGGGCCCACAGTAGAGCAAGTGCTGCACCACGGCATGGCAGACCAAGATCTTCGCAGTCACTGGCCGTAGGTGTCCTCGGAGATAACCCCAATGGATTGCTGCCTGAGCCCTCAGCATCACCAACCCAGCATGTCTGAAGAAGCTGCCGACAGCTCGGGCGCCGCCAACATCAGAGAAGCTGCGCCCCACGACGGCCCGCCACGTGCGCCGCGGGTACTGCATGGTGCTCCCGCCATCGGCATGCCAATCCTGGAGGGATCTCCGGCCCAGCGGTTGAGCTACACCACGCTTTTCAGCACCACCCCGCCCACCAGTCCGCAAGTCTGCAGGCCAGAGGAGGGTGGGGGCAGGATGGGGTTAACGTTCCACCATGATGGCCAGTCCCTTGCCTTCGCTGCATGGTGGCAGCCTGCTACCAGGCTTGCGCACAACAGCAAGAGTGCATCAACGGTCGGCTGCCAGCCCGCTGCACGCTCACCCAATCGCCAGTCTTCAACGTCCCATCCCATACCATCTGGCCCACCTCCTGGAGCTGCTGTCTGCAGCGAGGGGCGCATGAACTGGTGCAGCATATTGAGCGCCACCCGCCACCAGCCCTGCCCACCATGCACAAGGGGTGGCAAGCACAAGGCGCTGCGAATAGGAGCAGACGTGCCAGCGGGCACGTTGGCGGCGCATGAGCGGGCACCCGCGCAGCGGCTGCCCACCTGGAGGCTGCTGTCATTGCCGACGTCCAGCCAATACTGGGGGTAGTTGTTCTGCGAGAACTCCTGGATGCCGCCAGAACAACAGCGGCAGCAAACTGTAGAAAGGTGCGTTTCCGGGAGCCGTTGCAGTACGGACTGCCACAAAGGCCATTTGCCCTGTTCCAGGCGCCTGTTTTGCGTGTGCACTTCACAAGACATTGCCACAACTGAACGGCCACTTCAGAGCCTGCAGAGGGTGCCTCCGCGGCTCCCCTTCTGATCGCATCGCGCAGCGTGAATCTTTTCCAGTGCAATTGCGGCTCAGACGGTTGCGTCGTTCCGGGGTAAGTTGGGGGGGGGGGCTGCGTTCCTTGTTGGTGGCAGCCGCCCAGGCAGCGAGCCTGACCACAAAGCTACAGCTGCAGGCGGGCCCGGGCGAGTTCCCAGATACGCCAGAGGAAACCGGCGAGCTCCTTGTGGAGCGCCCTGTGCTACCCCTACATTTTGAGGAGGGTGGATGGCGTGACGGCCAGTATCAGGTTGTTGCCCAGAGATAGTTGCTGTAGATGGGCTAGAGGCACGGCCTGCGGCAGCGGCATGGCCAGCAGCAGCAGCGCAGCCAGCGGGGCGACCCCAACTGGGTCCCACGCGGGCACGTCACCATGCAAGAGGCTATGTCCGCCCATGCTGGTGGGTGCACCGGGCAATCAGCTTTGCCTTTGCCCTGCCCTGCCCAGCCTGCTTGGTAGGGGTTGGGTTGGGGTAGGGGTTGGGGAGGGGGCTGGACCCTTGCCCTTGGCGTTGCTTGCTTACCTTGCCTGCCCGCTGCTGGACGCACACCTTCCCTTGCCTGGATCCCCGCTTGTAGCAAACAAATACAATCTCAAAGGGATTGATCATAAACATGGCCAGGCGATCGGCAACTCAAAAGTGGAGCAAGGCAACGTGGTTGGTTGCCTTTTTGGACGACCAAGGCGCCAAGATTTGGCATTGCATGTATCAGGACATCATTCTGTCCCTGATGGTGTCGTGCAGCAGGCAGGGAGGCAGGCTGTACTATTGATTCAAACATCTCCTTGCGGCATTCAACCGTCCACTGCTACCTCATCTCACATTGCAGGTCCACCCCGATTACCACCAGCGTAATAATAAAATTGGCTTTTGTCACATGCTGCACATGACTAGGACTCCCTAGGAGCCCTCTTTGGACCGATCCGGCACGTGCGGCACTGGCAGACAATCGTGCGACTCTGTCACCAGCGACCCTGCCCGCACCATTAGCAGCCTCAGTGGCTACCAGGAGCGGCGGCACCAGCTGGCTGCAGAGCAGCAGGCCTGGCGGACAGCGGCACGTGCTCAGCTGAGGGCCAGGCGGACGAGATGTTGTTCACAGTTCAGCACCAGCAGCGCCAGCGGATGGCTCCACCCCCCCGGCGGCGGGGACGCATGGCTGTGCACGAGCCTGCCACTGGAAAGCGTACAGAGAGCGGCAGCGGGCGCACCCGCACAATGCCGCTGCCGACATTATTGCCACTCCCGCCAAAGCCGCCGGGTATTGTCCATGAGCTGAGGGTAGCAAATGCAAAGGAGCAGCAATGAAAGCAAGCACTTGTCAAGTGCCCAATCAGAGTGATGTCAGCACGTTGTATCCACTCCATGTCCTGAGCTGCATGTGACCTTACAACACAACAACACACGTAGGCTTTTAGATTGTTAGCATTGCGCGCGGCTGTGGTGCTGAAAACCAATGGGCACGTCTGCAGCGGTGTTTATCGCACCGACGTTGCTGTGCTCGCCGCGGTTGCCGCTACCCGGATGCTCGCCCCGGTTGCCGCTACCCAGACGCAGTCAGCCGGCATGCATGCGCCACAGCTGTGAACGGCGGAACCTCTTCTGCGCAGCCCGGGCTGCTCGTGGCAGCAGTGCGGCACTTAGCAGACCAGGTCCCTTGCCTGAGGTGAGGCGGCGCCAAGCCCCGCCCGCATGCTGCCGCCCGTGCACAAAACCGTCCTGCAGCTCTCGCCGGCGCTTAAAGCCATGCCTTTGGTTCTGGGGCGCGCTCACACACTAGCAAATTGCATTTTTATTGTTGTTGCCCTGGTTGCCGGCCTGTTGCAGCCCACCGCCTACCAGCAGACGCTGCGGCGGCCGTTCGCCCTGGGTGGCATCGGTCTGCACACCGGCGAGTATGCGCTCGTCCGCGTGCTGCCAGCATTCGCGGGCGATGGACGGTACTTTGTGCACGTTCCGCTGGGCACCAATAGCCGCCACTGGGCGCTGGAGCAGCCGGAAGTTCAGGACCTGAAAGGTGGGGTGGTGAACGCCGCATGTGCCGCTGTGTTGCCCCTTGCCCCGG